TGAAGCAGGCCTCCCGCTCAATATAGGGCGGCACCCTATAGGTCAAGCATACCCCCTATCACGGGACTTCTCTGTGTATATTGAGGAAAACATATTAGAATTGGTATGAATTGGTTATAAACACTATTTGCCCAAACCCTGGGAGTGCCAAGACGCTTGAAAAAATATGAAATAAGGGTCTCTAAACCGACTTGGTGAAGCGAGTCTGCGAAGTTCCTTTACTTCGGTAGTCCCACAAATCGTCTTGGGACGTCTAACTCTTGATTAATCAACCCCCCCCCATAATATGAAGAGGTGCTTCAATTCAAGTGGGGTGGGTTTATGGCTCAAGCATCACGAGTCTACATTAAACACCGTGATCCACGACCTGCAACCTTGTCACCCGGCCCAGGTCTGCTAGCGCCGCCGCCATGGTGAAGCATGAAGCGCGCGTGTGACAACGCGGCTAGTGGACGTGGAAGACGAAACCGTGGCCGAGCTTTCCCGAGCTTTCCCGAGCTCCAGGCCAACTTCTGAGCTGCTAAGCTGCTAGAAAAGGACAGTTCCCACGTTGAAATTAACCAACCATTGGACCATGGTTGACCTAGCCGCCCTGCATGGAGTCCCTGCTGTTACTCTTCTGTGAATATGCTTTCTCTGCTGTCAAAGGTCCAAGAAGAGACTACAAATCCACGACCTGAGCATCTACCCAGTGAACCAACTCCTGGTTGAGGGTCCTGGGACCCAGGTCCTGTAGGAATTCGGGTGAGCCAAATCCCTCCCTTCAAAAGTCCAGGAGATCCCGATCTCCAATGCGGCAAAAGTGGTCCAATGCTCCGAAAGCAGAAAGCTTTGGAGATCTACCTTGATAGGCTCCTCTTGGTAGATCAGAATGAACGCTTAGATCAGGTGACTTCTGTGATTCGATGCTCTAAGGTGACTGGCTTAGCCATTGGCTGCTGTTTCTCAGCCAAACGCTGCAGATCTTGGCCGGTCCCGGACCACAGGCGCCGGCGTCATGTCGCAGGGAAACGACCAGCCAGACCTCAACATGGCACCTGGGTCTGTGAGAATGGAAGGGCATTTCCAAGGGTTCCAAGTGTCTGAGACTGGTGCAATTGAACACACCCAGGGTGGACACAGGGTCTGTGCTTCGAAGTGCTACACTTCGTTGGGGTTCCCACGGCCGGTGACGTGGCCGTTTCCAAGGCCCAGTAAGGTGGGAACACGCTCGTGTTTGTTCATCCCAAGGTGGGAAACAAAGCCAACAAACCATGAAAGGCCCAGTGAATTGCAGTGAACCTGCTGCCAGATCCATCCATCCATCATCCATCCAACCCACGTTAATTCCACGAAAAATGATTTGATTCCATAACAGTGAGCCCGCCCACCCATCTGAATCTGCTGGGTGCTCCGTGTTAGACCAAAGGGCCCCGTTTTGCAGGGCCCTGAAAACGGCCCCCGGATCTTGCTCCGTGTTCTCGCCGATGTTTCCTCCGTCACCACCCGTTCCGTCTAAGGCTCGGCTGAACCGCCGTGATCGCACCTCGGCGGCCAGTTCCGCCTCTTGTGGCGTGGGGGGAACCACTTCACCTGGAAGCGGCGGAAGCGGCGGAAGCGGCGGAAGCGGAAGAGTGCCAAACGAGGCGAACCAGTGGGTGAACGCCAGCATGTGGTGTGAACGCCAGGTCATGAGTAGAGAGAGATGGTTCCAAAGATGTTCTTAGAACTGCAGTGTTTTGGGGGGGAGTGTCGTGTGCTTGAAACATGGGGATTGGAACTTCTCTCAGATTCTCTCATGCATTGCTAGTGTATCTACTTGGGAGGGCTGCGCCAAGCCTTGCTTGGTGAGGCACTTCTGGGCCAGTAATAATTTCTTGACTCGCGGTGGGTTGGGAGGTCAAACCCAATTTTGAGCCACACAATGTCATCCAGGGCTGAGTTGATCCAAACCCCATTCTTGGCGCTTTTGGTTTCTCCAGGCAAGTTTCTTGCAGGATGAACGGATGAACCTGCTGGAATCCGTCGGTACCGCCCATGACAACACTCAGCCACCTTTCTGTCCATTTAGCTCTGCAGCACCTGGCAGCGTGATGTTCAGCGCAGGGTTTTCGGCTGGTACTGGTTGCTGTTAATCGGGAGCCATCGGCATGGCAAGTCCGGCAAAGTAGCAGAATCTTGGTTTGACTGGTATAGGCTTGGAAAACTCTTTAGGAACAGGTATCATTTCAATGATGAGAACATGTGCATCAAAGTAAAGTGGAGAACAATGACTGAATTGGTATTAGTCCATTGCAAACTCACGGATTGTGAGAAACATTGCATTGCAATTGGTGTTCTTATGACCACACAACCTTTTTCCTTCCCCTCTCTTCCCCTGACCGGCTCAAATAATTGGGCAAAAACAACCACCAAATATAGTCGTAAACTGAAAAAGTATAGATTTGAAGAACTGTTGGTGTAACACAATGGCAAACTTAAATAGCACTGTTTTGCTCCCACTCAAGGGTCCTCTCTAAACAAACAAAATCGAATTCCTCAGAGTTCGTCTTGATCTGAAAATGCGAAAAACGATACACATAGCATTGATGAAACCAACTTCTTCCCACAAGCCCTTGAGCTGCGAAACAGAAAATCCGTTTGAAACCAGGGAACGGCAGGGTCTTGGCTTCTGGCATCCCAAGGACTGGAGCACCCCTCCTAAAGACCTGAAAAGTTGGAGTGTCCCACTGTCCCATGTCAAGTCTTTGGATCATTGACACATGTCATACACCAGGAGTCACAGAGCTCGGGGTGGTGTTTAGTCCCCTTACGTGAGTGGATGTGACAGGGGCACCCCTAACCTCCATGGATAGCACCCCGACATGTGACTGCTGGTGTGTGTATAATCTTTTTTGTTGGACCATCTTAACTTGAACCCCATACTTTCTCCATCTATCGCACACAAAGCCTGCACTCACCAAAACCAAAAAAGAAGGAACAACCATGGCCACGGCCCCTCCCCTCCTTTCGGTGTGCCGGATGTGCGCCTGTGAGCCCTTTGATGGTCACGCGGCTCCCGGCGGGGAACCGTCGCACCGCTGTCGGCTCCGTGGGCTCCGCTGCCTCCACCACACTCGGCGCCGGCGCCGGCGCGGCCGGTGCCGGCGCGGCCGGTGCCGGCGCGGCCGGTGCCGGCGCGGCCGGTGCAGCCTCCGTGTCCACCACAGTGGGTGCGGCTGAAGCCGGTGCCGGCGCGGCCTTGGCAGAGCGGGTGGGCGGTGGTTGAAAGCTCAACTTCAAAGAGCACGAGTTCGGGGACAGCGACAGTTCATCTGCAGGACTGAACACACCAACAACAGACCTTACACTACTAACATGTCGCAACACTACACCAAAGCCACTAGACCCCTCCTATCACACTCACTCCACGTTTCTCGCACTCCTCATTGCAAATATTCTTCCTTAACTGCTTGACTCTCTGCTTCAAAGTCTTCCGGGTTGTCCTTCAGAACCTTGAGCTCATCGCGAAGTGGAACAGCAACAACGCCTCCAAAAACTGAACCCCCCCAAATCGACACTATGGACACTTTCTCCACGAGCGATGGCATCAACAGTGTCAGCGCACGCACATGGCTGGATCTTGAACACACCAAGACACGAGAGTTTGACCGATTGGAGTCACTTCACCAAACAGCAGACCGTGATATAAAGTGCAGACCGGCAATTAAGACAAGCAGACATGGCATGTTCATGACTACCAGGTGAGTGCGAAGACATCCGACGGTGAGTGCGCCGTCGGTCACAGAAACCCCACGGACACGCGATCGCCCCCTGATGTGACGACGTGGTTTTCGGCACGCGGCGAGCTGATACCCCCGCCCTTTGTGACAGCCCGTCGAGCGAAGAGAAAAGCGCTGGGGTGCCGGGATGGGCCGGGGTCCCTCTTTGCTGAGGTACATGGTCTTAGAGAGTATTCGAAAAATGGCGCTGGTCTGAAAGAAAGGGCCTTGAAGAGAAAAACCGCCCATGGCGCCAGAGCCCAATCACACAAAATGATGTAGACCGTAAATCCTGGAAGAAAACGAGGTAAAAAAAAAAGGAAGCAGGCAAGTTGTGTTTTGCTTCCAAGCGATGTGTTGCTTGTGTTGCTCGTGTCTTTCAACACGTCACTATCATTTCCTCGCCATGTCCATCCAGAGGCCGGGTGATGTCCTATCATCTGAGGCTCCCACCACTGCCGGCTCATGGTCCTTGCCGAAGATCTTGGTGTAATCCTTGCGCAGGTCTGTGCTATAGGCCTGGCGAGACAGGTCGAGCGACCACATCATTCGTTGCCGATGAAGCTTCGTGTCGATGTTGTGAAGAAGTCCAGCACCCAAAATCAAGTAAACCACCCCAAAAATCCAGGTACATGAACAATTTAATATTGTATAGAGTACTTTGAGACTCCAGGTACAATGCACTTCTTGACCTCGAGCCGGTTCTTAGCGGGGCTGTAGTATGTAGCGTGGTTCCCTGTTCCCTCATCTGGACGGAGTCCTTCCCTCCGCTCACCTTTTCGCTTTGGATTAGCTCATGTCCCTTCGACTTCAGCACCGTTCCGTTCGCTTCGTCTCACCCCAACAGTCCGCGCCACCACTTGGGCGACGGCCGGCGCGGCTGTTTTCAGCATGCGCAAGCCGAGAAAAGCTGATGTTTGATGGGTGAAACATCTCAGCTGGTCCAAATGCAGCTGAGAAAAGCCCATATGAACAGAACCTGGCTGCCACTCAAATCACTGTCTGCGCAGCCAGAACTTGCCCTCGAGCCATCAGTGGGAGTGTCCCAACATGATGGCCGAAACTACTTGGCCATCAGCGAAGTTCGGCTGGTTGAGAAACAAAGAACCCCGCCAGGACCCTGATGTATCCTGATGTCTCTATGTCAAATGCACCTTGGATCTCTATGTCAGCGCCACCCCAGGATTTTCACCCTGTCCAATCATCACTACAGCGCTCCGGCCCCTTTCCCCAGCCTGTCACATCTGAAGCTCTTTGGCTTCATTCGCTTGCACTCACCTCTAAGGACTCAATCAAAGACTGCAAGTCCGGATTCACGCGGAAGACTCGCCCCGGCGTCCCACCTCAGTCCGGGCCCGAAAAAGCGGCGAAGCCAACCCGAAATCGGTTGGATGGGGCCGTGGTTCATGTCCAGCCAGTGCAGGGCCAGGGCCAGGGGGGGAGGATGAGAAAATCAGGTGCTGCAGAAGGCAGTTCTGGGCCCTTTGCTTCGAAGAAGAGAATCAGCCTCCCTGCGTCCCTGCAGAACCCCATCATGCCCCATCCCTCACACAGATCTATGGCATATATGTATGCATATGTACCGACACTGGGGTGGTTGAAAAGGGGATCAATGTCAAGTAAATATATGCCATCCATGGACAAGTCATGTCATAGACTCATAGACCTCTCACACTAAATAAGATAAGAACCTCCCCCGGCTACCTGGCACCTCTTCCGGCAGCGAGGGTCGGTAGGTGGGTCGCCCGGCTTTTGGGCATGTTCCGGGCCAGCGCGCACATCTCCTCTTTGTTTTTGGTCACCACCTCGACCACCTGGCGCAGATGCTGCGTCAATTGACCATGTTCATCCATGTGAAAAAGCCAAGTTGTAGCCCAAATCTGCTCCCCGCGAGCGTGCCTTGTTTTCATGTTGTTTGGTGGTGTGCAGGTGTGGTGGATGTTTGGGATGTGTTGGGCAGTGATGTTTTGAAATTTCAAGGAGAACTTGGGCCGCTAGATTTTCTAGTAGAATTCTAGGTGAGAAAATGGTACGTTGTGGAAAAAATCCTTAGAATTCAAGGTGGGGTGGAAACATGACACCATCCAAAATAGCCTCTAGAGAATGCTCTATCCAGGTTCAGCTTCCCAAGTATCAGCGAGCAACAAAACTCCAAATCTCATTTTCTAGGGGAACATTAACAACTGCATAACGAACGTGGACAGACATTCCAGAAGATCCCAGAAGTCATTTTCTAGGACCCTGCTTCGGCATCCAATCGACTCACCAGCACCTATCATCATCGCACTCAAAATGACTCCCTGGAAAATGCCCCTTCCAAAAAAATATGATGTTCCAACTGAGCCATGCTGAAAACCTTGATAGATTCCTATGTCGTAAGAACTGCCTTACGCGAAAACTTACGCCGCGCTTACGGGACCGCAGTTTCAGCTTACGCGGGGGTGTTGCTTACGCCGCTGCTTACGCCACCTTACGCCATTGCAGGCTTTGCTTACGCAGCATCGATATGACATAACCTGGAAATGTCTGGCTTACGCCAAAGCTTACGCAGAGCTTACGCGACCGCAGTTTTAGCTTACGCGGGGGGGAGGTTTTCAGCATGGCTCAGTTCTAGAAAATGCCAGGGAATCAACTCAGTGTACAAAGGTGGTTCTCTAGAAAAAACACCATTTTCTAGGGGACCTAGGTCCTTGGATTTCCTAGTGGAAATTTCAATCAACGAGGATATCAACTAACTTCTGAGTTGGTCGGCCCCTGGAGCATGGCCAGAGGACTCAAAACAGTTCCGGAGGTGCAAGAGACTCAGGTGATCTCAGGTGGCTCTAGTCAGTCTGGGACACGGGTGAGGTTCGAGGAGCTTTCTGGACACTCCAGTGATCTCCACATTTCAACAGCAAGTGCAGTCCATTTGCAGGAGTTGCTGCTCCTCTTCAAACAAACAATTTGAAATAAGGTTCTGAAACATGGTTCCAAAACAAAAACGGCACAAACTGGATCTCTCGTGTTTATTGGCCACACCCAAACTCTTAGAACCCTCAGCTGTGCGAAACGCACCTCATAGCCGATCTCGAAGGGCTTTTGGGAAGAGATACCTGAGACCCACCACCCACATCACCCACGACCCTCCAAGTTGTGAAGTTTGCAAGTTGGTCCGGATGCTTTCAGTGTTGCCTCTGATTGCTTGAAAATGGAGTACTCAGGGGCTGGTAGAGATTATCGGCTCTTGAGATGGATGCATTTCCAGACTTGAGTCCCGTCCACTCGCCCAACCTAAGTCCAGTCACTGGAGCCTCTCCAAAGATCAGTCCTGAGTAGCTCAGGGATCCAAGTGAAGGGAGGGAGGTTTGAGGATGTACTGAGGGACCTCTCAAAACTCTCCTTCTCCATACCTGTTCTTCACCTGCACAACACCCGAAGAGGAAACGGATCATCTTCGAATTCGTTCCAAACCCTCCACAAAAATTCCGGTCAACCACCATGGGGAGAGACTTGAACACAAACGGTTCTGAGTTCAGACTGCATCTCATTCGAGAAAGAAACTACTTATCAAGACACGGTGCAAACTAAAATGAGGCAATCAGTCAAAAACACAAAATCCAACGAACAGCCGGCGCCCCAAAAGAACAAACCAGGATCACAGACCAGACTCCCAGAGGATCTGGGTTGCCTTTTTGCATGTTTGAAAGTGCTTCAAGCAGCCCAATCCACGATCCACCTGTACACAGTACGGACCTACGTTCTTTGTCCATTTTTTTCCCCAAGTGACCTCGTAGGAACACGGACAAATCTTTGGCAGTCTCAACATGTCTAGAGGATCCCACCAACAAACCATCCACCTGGATAATGAATTTTAATTTCTACCACCAAAGATCACCAACAAAAACAAGAACATTGCATAGAATCGGCATAGAAAATACATGTAAAAAATCCACAGACGTTCCGAACTGATCACCCCGCCAGCACTTTCGACTCGAATCGCATCACCGGTCTCCCACCGGTCGCCCTCCGCTCCCGCTCCCTCCGCAGCTCCGAGCGTCGTCAGGGCGCCCCAGGTGGAGTTCTTCACTGCACGCGCCACTTGACCCGAGACCTCGGTCGTCCCGGACCGGCCGCGGCGGGGAAGAAGGCAGTGAGGGTGCGGTGAACAGTGTTGGACGTGAACGGTTTTGGGGCAAGGTATGACTGGACCCTCTAAGTCCACCCACCCCAGTCCCACCTTCTTAGAAGCTACTTGGAACCCTAGTAGATGTCATGATGTCGTGTTGGTGTGATGTTTTGGGGTTGGATGGTGTCACGGAAGAACGGGCAAGGGCGATACGGGAAGCTGGACATGAGCAAGCGCACCTTTTGGAGTGAATACATCCGAATGGCCAAGACAGTGAGCAAGTCGATTTCCTTCAGCCATTGAAAGGTTCTTACAATACTCAATCCATTTTGGGGTATCAAAACGAAGGCTGAGGATGAGCTCCAACGAGCTACATAGAGGCACAATGCCTCACGCCATGGCTAGTCCAGTAGCAAAAGCACCGGAATGCTGCTTGGACCACGCTGCTTGGACCACGCCTTTTTGCACGTGCCTAACTGCATCCGGGCCAGCCCTTGGGAAAACGCTCAGAACAGTTGTGCACTCACGTGTGCCCCAAGCATCATCCAGGCCAGTACCAGCTCGACCGGACTAGCCGCAGAGCGTCTAGGTCCAGCTTCTTCCATGGACACTCGCGGGTGGTTGGGAAGTTGAAGCACCTTCCGTTCGAACAATGGCTATCCCGGGCTGTCCCTAAACAGGATGAGAAACCCTCCGGCAACACCCAAAAATGAGCCGACTGACAAATAATATAGTCATGATCTGTCACGCTGAACTCGACCGACTGAAAAAGAAGAAACCACATCCAAAGACCCCTTGCAACAGCACCCCATCCAACCCAAACCAAACATCTTCGCACCAAGCCCATCCGACTCCTCATCTCCGCACCTCTGCCGGCTGCTGCCCCGCCGTCGCCGCACCCAAGGATTCCACGGCTTTCTGCTGCATCATAAAGAAGAAGTTTACTTTCCAGACGGATGTGGTTGAAAATCCTTGGATGAAAATTCTACCACAGGTTCTTGATGGAAGGTTCTAGAGAGGAAGTTCATCTTGCAGGAATCTCATTTTCACAGAAACCTTGGAAGAAAGCTCTAAAAGAAGAAGTTTACTTTCCAGACGGATGTGGTTGAAAATCCTTGGATGAAAATTCTACCATAGGTTCTTGATGGAAGGTTCTAGAGAGGAAGTTCATCTTCCAGGAATCTCATTTTCACAGAAACCTTGGAAGAAAGTTCTAAAAGAAGAAGTTTGCTTTCCAGAAAGATGTGGTTGAAGATCCTTCGGTGGAAATTCTACCACAGGTTCTTGGTGGAAGGATGCCTGTTGCCCATCTGCGCGAGGTAGGTCATGGCGGCCACTAGGTGCATTGTAGACTCCGGCGACATGACATGGAGAGTCCACTGAAACTCCTAGTCTGATAAGCAGCAAACGTAAATACTAAAAGTGCAAGGGCCTTCCATTTTTGTCCCTGCATTCTTTGCAGCGACTGCAAGGCATGAGCTGTGACTGTGACTGCGCAATTCCATGGATCACCCTTGTCCTCGCAACTCGAGTGGGAGGGGCCAAATGCACCCTAAGTTCCAGCCAGCAACTTCCAGCATGCTGAGGACTGCAAGGGCGGATGTGAATCTCCGACCCCCATGCCTGACAGGAGGGGTAGTCAGGCAGCAGGAGAGAAGAAAAAGAACTGGCCAGGAGACATACTCAGGTTTCTGGATCACCAAGCAAGTAGTCAGTCAGCAACCCCAGGACGCGCTCTGGAGCATCATTATAGCGCTTTGGAGTAAGGAAGCTCATTTGTTCCTTGCCGACCAAATTCAGCACCTCCTCGAAAAAGATCACCGAAACTGCTCAAATCTGAAACGCCTTGTGGTCCCTCAGTCGTACTGAGTACTTAAGATGTACTTAGTCTGAAATGGAATGCATCGAAACGGTTTAAGATCTCAGCTGGTATGGGGGGCGGCAGCCCAGACGCCCGGTCCACGTGGCCAGTCCAGCGTCCCTAAAGCTGGAAGAATTTCAGCCAAACGCGCCAAAGGCGATCCGAGTCTTGGAAAACAATGAAAACACATCATCGCAACCCGCGAAAACTTTCCGTGCCTCTCAACTGGGCTCGCAGCTTTTGAGGGCCTCAGAATGCATTTCGAAAACGGAATCCAGACTTCACCAAGCACAAAGGACCCAAGAGGAGAGACTACTTGCACGTGGTTCCCAAGATGACAAATGACTATACAATTTCTCCTCCCTTTGCCTTTGGCGACGGGTCTTGGTTGAGTGGTGCAAAGGATCAACAACGGTGGCAATGTCGCAGGCATGGCCTAACGGCAAAACGCTCCAAAGCAAACTATAAGCAAGCAAACTGCGAATGCACGTCATGGTCACATCCCCAAGCTTGAAAGCGATCGCGCGTCATGAGGCTTCAAGCTCAGTTCATTCTGGGAGCTGCTGCTCGGCTTCGACCAGTGTCAAGAACAGTGCCACAATGGCGGCAAAGGACCTCACGTGCGTCAATCCAGGCAATGTGGTTTGCCCCAAGTGGACCCACATGTCATACACCCCGAGGCTCCCAAACAGGCCAAGGGTCTATAGAGTCTATAGAGTCTATATAAAGAACCAGTTTTACCACTCAGGTCACCTTAAATTGTCTGTTCGCATGCTGTTTCTGCTGTGCGACACCTCCAGCTTCATATGAAACCCAAGCGAAGCACCCGGTGAACCAGGTGAGTCACCAGGGGACTCGGCAAACACGGGATGAACACTTCTGAGAATGGCTTCAGCACGTGGGCTTCCTAAAAATACACGAAGTCTCCCTGCCTTGGAAGCACACTGACTTGATACAGTCTTCCGTTTTTTTTGCCAGCGCCACTTCGGGGTGTCGCGACCGGTCGTGAGGGGACTCAGGGAGTCCATAGGTAACCACTCTGACGTTCCCGGTACTTCTTCTCGGGTCACCGGGCTTTCAGAAGCGACGAGAAGTCCTCCATCCCTGGGGTTTAAGTCCTGACTCAAACAGGATCACCGGCTTTTGGATCGATCCTGTCTGAGCGAAACCAGGGTCGCAGCTGGACACCATGGGGACCGCGGATCTTGGTCACTTGAAAGCGGCGAACTTCGGCTTCACAACACGTGGTTGCGGGATCTCTGAGGTTGAGGACGGTACCGTACACCCATAGATCTTGGGGTACGGATGCCTCAAGGGGCAGCAACTTGCCAGGGCCGGCCAACCAAACCAGGGATGGTCATACTCAACAAGCGAATGCTAAAGTGACTTGATTCCTCGTGATTCTTGTTGTTTGTCCCTCATATGTATCCTCATTGTACTTGCCACTTGAATTACTTGAGTAGGAGAGGGGACGACCTTTGTTCAAAGACTGGGAATCAGAGCCGCCAGTGACCGACCACCGTTTTCGGGCCCCTCTGCGTTTTCCTTCGCCCCCCCAGTGACGTCCTCTTCGCTCGCTTCATTGGGTCGGACCGAGCTGTCGGACAAGCTTTGTACGAACGGTGTTGAGCTTGGGACTGACAGGCAAACGCCCGCAAACGTTCGCAAAGGCCGTTGGTTTCGAAGTTCTTCTCGGCTTCTTCGTGATTGCTTGGGTTTTGTACATTGCGCAAGTTCAAATATTCAAGAGCACTGCTTCTGGCCGCAACTGTCCGAGTGGTCTCCTTCTTCAACACCCCCTTTTGAGCCAAGAAAAAGATCGTCATTGGCCAACTGGTTGGTGAACGGAACGAGTACCATCGAGCAACATCGAGTGACATCGGGCACCACCGAAATGGCCTGTCTGAACGTCCGGGGATTTTGCCCAACCGCTGAGTGTGTTATCACTTGTTCTGCTAGGGCCGGGGTGCTGACCCCTTGGATTGATCAAACACAAACACAAAAACCTCAAGCAACAGATCACAGTGATTTTCCAAGCGAAGCTGATGGCTCTCAACGAAACTTGAAACACGTTGCTTGGTTCAGGCCACAGCCATTGTCAAAGCCTTTGGTTGAAAGGATATTAATCCCTAGAGTATGTTTCTTTGGACCATTGTGTGAACCACGCCAGTAGAAGCCCGCCTTCCAGTGCTGCATGCTGGACATTGTATGCAGTCGGAGAACTGATAAGGATACGGATACATACATGTAATATCATATCAAGAATCCTGGAAAGTAGGCAATGACCTGTCAACATACACAGGTTGTCTCTCTGGTCTCGCATGACACAAAAAACGATAAAAATATGATACGGGTGTGATGTGGGGACACAGTGTTCATCATGTTTCCACTGACACTCATGTCAGTAGAGATTCATCTTTGTCACCAGGTTTTCTCTGCCCAGTCAATCCAAGACCCGAGATCCATTCATGCCAAGGTACCACTGCGGTGAGTGCCTGCTCCGATAAAGGCCCCAATAAGGGCACGTCCTGCCGCGTGGCGTGTGCGCGTGCCTGAAAATGCCCGGCGACTCGGAACCAACTACTGCGACGGATTGCAGCTGAATGCTTGTGATGGCTGCTGAATGCTTCCAATGGGTGCCCAATAGGTGTCCAATAAGTCGTGTAGGCCCGTCCAGCCAAGTGGACTCGAACGGAAGCAGCTGCTCAGCTGCTCTCCAATGCATTCTACGTCTGAGTGTCTTTCCACCCGGGAAACACCCAAAAAAACCGAGTCGTCACGTCCCTCCGCCTTGCTGACCATGTCCGATCGCGTTCATCTCGGATTTCACAAAAAAAATAGCAGACTTCTCCATCAAGTCTTGGATTTGATGGAACCGGGCAAAAATCAGACATCTCCCCGAAAGGCATGGCCTCAATTTGGGAAACACACACAAAAAAAAACTCACCCGAAAACCACCTTGGTTCATCCTCGCGAAGTCAGTTCTCCTCCAGTGAGTTTGCACCCGGCGCATGATGGCGCCTGTTCGACCGGATGTTCACCAAACCGACCACTCGACTCATACGGTGCCACGACTCTCCCGGTCGTCCTGCACATCTTTGGCCGACGGCAAGAGCAGTCGCAGCGCTTGTTCGCGCCTAGGCGGAGTAGCGGGAGGGATGGAGCGGGTAGGCCCAGAGGCCCACACTGGGAAAGGTCTTCAAAGGACTCAACTTCCGAGAACAAAGCTGGTCAATGAGATGTCAATGAGGCTGAAGAATCAAAAACTGCGACTGCCTCCTTTTGGCTTCCATAACTTCCGCAACTGTCATGGCAGCTCTTGACTTTCCAGACTTTTCCCGCAGGCTTTTGGATGTCTTGTAAACCTATTCAGGTATGCTCCCCGGAATTATCATGCTTACGTGGACCATGGCCCCTGGATGACCATGTTCCGAATACAAACTAGCGGTGTTCCACTTCCATGATTCCATGGAGTGTAGATCAATGTCGGCCACACAAGTGTCTTCATGGCTCCATGGTGCCTGAAATTTGAGTTGGTGCCTGTGTTTCTCTGGTGGACCCCCCCTGACAAGCCGAATTTTGCTGTGGAAAGACTGCTGTACATCTTCCTAAACACAAGGTGTATCTCTTAAGGGGAATTCTTCAAGACATCTGAGAAAAAAAAAATATGTGAAACTCTGACATCCAGAGATCTCTGAAAGACGATCCTTGTGATGAGCCCTGGATGGGTCTTTACACCCCATGCACTTGTGTAGCGGACTGTAAGGATGTGAAAAACGATGTCAGACATGGTGCCCTGCGGAGCGTCGTCCAACAGCGCTGCGTTCTCATCTCACCAAATGAATGGCCCAGGTCACCAGGTATCCCTCCTCTTTTCACCCAGAAGCAGCTTTTGATGAGGTGAGTCTTACCAGTCTGGGGCCCCCCCGCCCCAACCCAAAAAAAGGTCAAAACCCGGTCTCGAAGACTCCCGTCTCTTCTTCCCCAACAAATGGTCGGTTCTCTTGGGCCCTCGAACCAGTCCCCCGCCAGGGGCAGATTGGCGATGTTCACCTCAAAGGGCGGAACCCACGCGCCCGGAGGTCACGTTCCGCCGGGTGCGGTATGGTCCAGCTCTCACCGTCTCACCCCAGTCAAACCTGGTTCCTGAAAAGCTCCTTTGAGTAGTGTTTGTAGGACCACGTCCAGTAACATGAGTGTGTTTGACTTGTAGGGCCAGTATGGGTGTGGGTGTGCAACATCAATTGGGGAGACCCCGATGGCCCCCGGCTAGGTAGACTGGTCTATGTCCCAAACCGAACCCAGGGGGGGGTTGCCTGGGAGGTCTCCTTATTTATACACCCCACTTTTGGTAGGAAGATTGGGAAGTTTGAGGCTTTCGTTCATCCTCAGTGAATCCGGGATCCCTTGACGTTGACTGGTTCGATCAACCCGTTCACACCCACAACCCAAGCAAGTCGATCGATCACCAGGGCCAGCATGTAACTGTATGCTGCATGATCATCTCTGGTGGGCAGAAGGGGTCTAGATTCTAGATCCACATCCCACTTTGGCACTCTCGCGAGGCACGTTCGCAGTTCCAAAAACGATTATATATAAGCTTGTGCTTCAAACCATTTCTCCTTCGGGTCTGTGGCTACGGTTCACCCTTTTGCACGGCTGGTGTGTTCACCAAGGTCATGTTTTACTGCAGATTTGCGCAGATTTGAAAACGGTAAACAGATGTTTTGGCCGCTTTGCCACGGATCTGTCGGTGCCGCATCATCGGGTCACCGCTCGAAATCAGAGCTCGAAATGACTTCATGCGTTGTATGGTTGCATGTGACGTTTAAAAAAAAAAAACACATGCAGCTTCTTTTTGTGCATGTGAAACCCCTGATTTGCTTGTAGTTGTTGAGGATTTGTTTCTTCGGTCTTTTCAAACGCCGCGGTTCTCCGGGAGCAAGTCGGTCGTCTGTTTGACCTGTTTGACAGGCACCATACTGTAATAATGCAAGGTGTTATTTTGTGGCAATCAGTAGGTCAGAGTCATAGGTCAAAGGCGCAGGAAATGTTTGTTCATTTCAGCAGTGTTGCTGAGAGGTGGAAAAAAAACTTAAAACTCGTTGTGTTTTACCGTCTTATTCCCGGGGTCTGTTAGCCAAATTGCTGTGCCAAAGGTGCGGTAAACACGGTATAATCTGATGTGTTTTTCCGTTTTCTCCGCAGGGGCGCGGGAAAACGGTACCCTTTAGCAAAACAGCGCGCACGAACCGGCTTAGGTGGTCCACTGCGAGTCTTGTTGCCAAAAACGTGCACAAAGGCAGCCGACCGCCAGGCACTTGTTTCACATGTCGGGGTACTCAAAGCCCTTCTGCTTGTCGCTCATCGCGAAAAGGGGACTATATGGACACTCATATCATATCATCATATAGTCATATTTATATATATATATATATCATCTACTCGCATGCCAAGATCCTTGCCAATCAGTTGCAGGGTCGGGTGCTTTCAGCTCTAGCGCGAGAACCCCTCATTAGACCCTGCCATGTCCTCATGTCGGCATTCGAGCGCTTGAAGATGAATTGAACTTCAGCACCTTCCCCTCTCTGCTTGGTTCCTCCAACACATCCACGCCAAAAAACACCCGAAAACCACCACCATCCGTTAACAACCTCCCAGTCCGGTAGTCCGGTCCGCACCACGTCCACCACGCCCACGCCAGGGGCTCCCGCGTCACCACCGCGTCACCCGCTGGGGCTCCCCGACCCAATCCTCGGGCGCCTTCCATCGGCCGAAGATCCGGATCACCAGCCCGGACTCGCCCCGTGCGCCGCGTGCGGCTTCCGCCGCTGCCGTCGCCTTAGAGCTCGGGCGGTGGGGTGCCGGAACACACGGCGGCCGTTGGAACACTCGGTGGCGGTCGAAAGAGGTCGCGTTGGGTGTGTGACCTCGCCGAGATTCGCAGATCGCCCAGGTGCCCGAAGAGAGCACTGAAAACCGCGCCCAGATCGAGGCTGGGAGTTTGGGTGGACGAAACAAGCACGGATGGTGCCAACAGAGGGGAGGGAGAGAACCAGTCCCGGTCTGCGACGAAGAAAGAACAAGAAGCAGACACACCCCAGGTTTTTTCCCAGGGTCCGATATCGATGGCATGTGTCAGTACAGACAGGTTGGATGGTGTCACGGTGTTTTTGAGCCTTTGGTGGATGGTTGAGCTAGTATGTCCAAGTCCACATGATCCATCCTTGAGTCCACAAGATCCATCCTTGAGATCTACTGAGTATGGTTTTCTTGAGGAACAAATATAAGGAGTATAAGGGTGGTTGAGTTGCCCATGTTGGACTTTCTTGGACATCTCCTACTTGGTTGCTGGATGGGTGACCATGACGGGGTCATCGAACAGTTCTCGAAATCTTCGAGTTCGACCTTCCTTCAGTCCCTGCACCTCCAACCCCTTCGCCCCCCCGCACAGAGTCCACACCCCACGGCCAAACGAGACGAGTCGGCGTTCAAAGATGTTGGGCATCCAGTCACCCAAAATGATCGAAAAAGTGGTGGTTCCATAACGTCATGAAGACCTTGAAGATGAAATGATGTCTTCTTTCAGTATGTTCCTTTATTTCAGTACTGATGAAACTGGAACCTTGTTGGAGGGGCAAGCAGTGGATGGAATACGATATCTACATGGTATATGGAACACTTTGGACAATTTACCATTCTCCCAGCAATTTGACTGATGTTGTCTTCTCGCGTCCAAATCTCCAGGATGACTTGAAACAGTTTGCAATCAAATAGTTGTGCAATTTGTGTCAGGTGGCAAGTCAACCAAGTATTCAATTGGCAGGTACACATAGCTAAACAGGATCTACATGACAGAGTCACAAAATACTTGGTATACCTTAGAATGAAAATGTCACATGTTCAACTGCTCAGCATGGACAGGGTCGGCATGAAACGGGCTGCTCTATGAAACGGGGCACAGCAAGCCCACAAATGGCATGACCCATGCGTTTGAGGTCGGAAGCGCGATACGTGACAAGCGCCCAAAGTAGATGGCGAACGGTGGAACTGCGGATCAGCTTTTTCAAGAATAAGTGTGTCCTCCATGGGGATGTCCTTGGAAATGGCACCTGTTCTTCTCGAAAGTCTAAAAACCATGGACACATGGCGCCATATCATGTGGTCATCAGCACCCATGACTGCCATGCATTCGGTCGCGCCCCGCCCTCGGTCTCGCGGTCTCGCGGTCTCATCGCCCACCTCTCTCCGCTGTGCCGCGCGCGCCGCCGCGGCAGCTTTGCTCGCTTCCTGCGAGCCACAGGAGGAAGTCTTAAAGGAAAATAACGAGACTCCGAGGCGCCAAGCGCAGGTGGTGTCCACCGGTCGGCGTATGTCGGCGTTGGGCCAACTGAGGATGTGCACGCGCAGGACGACAGCGGTTGTTGAGATGATTTGAGATGGAAGATACTCCACGGATGGGTGAACACAGAAGTTACCTAAAACGACCTAAGTGACCTCCCAGAAGTGTCAGTTTTCAAGCTGTTGCGGTCTGACTGCATGAATCTCCATGGCCTTCTGAATCTCGGTACGACTCGTAAATCGAATGGCAACTGTTCCGCATGAGCCCGACTCGTCAGATCTCACGTATAGGCGTGACATGGAAATCGTATAAAATCGTCACCACTATCGCAAGAGCACATCCAAAGCTCAGGAAACGACCAGCCCCAACAAACCCAACAGGCTAAGGCCACTTCTTTCGAACAGTCTTTTCAGGTCACGTCAGAAGGTCGCACCGATGTCTTACGGATCTCCTGCACATGTCCGTCATTCAGAAATTCGTAAGAGCATGTCCGTCTTACGGATGTCTTACAGATCTCTTGCACATATCTAGATGTTGGAAAGAATTCTGCATCCCTCCCGCTTCATTCCCAAGCGGTGGCTGATTCTTGATGGGTTGGCCCGGGGAGCTCCCTAGAGTTGGAAGGTCGAGACCGGCCAGGAGATGCGATCCGGAACGGATCCCATGCGTGAGTCCATGTCCTATAAACATCTCCTTTGCTTTGGGCAGAAAAAAAAACCATCAAGAATGGATTTGTTCGAGGTTCACTGGGTGTGCCATGTTCATAGGGAGACCCTATGAAAACCCCGGATTGGTCTATTTTCCATTATATATATATATATATATATCTATCTATGTCCTTCTTCCAGGGGCTCTTTGGAAGGTCTCCCTCACCGCCCATCTTCATTGGGGCGTCTGTGCGGTCTCCCTTTTCCACTCCGCCCACCGCCACACGGACGGACCGCCGCACGGACCGCACGGCGCCTCACCCCAGGACTTCACGGCATCCATGGCCTTTGATGGGAAAACAACAACATGGGAAGGGGCCCCCCCGGACTTCGGGTGTGATCCTTTTTTGCATATCTCGAATTCAGGGCTATCTTTCGGGGGAAGACTGAGTTAGAACTTTTGGGTCCCAAGCTGATGGATCTTCTCAGCTCTAGAAACTCCAATGCTGCATTCAAAACAGCTGGGAACTCGAGAAACTCCGTACGACTTTCCAGACCCGAATTCTCATCCCTTGAATCCCTTGTCTCTCTTTTATGGACCTGCCCTTCACCCCCAAAAAGATGTGATTTCACCGCGGGACCAGCTCTTCACCCTCCTCCGCCGTGTCCTTCCCGCGTGTCACCTGACCTCCTGGGCCGCCCGGACGAAGTCGCGGATCACCGCCTTGGCCGAGGAGAACCAGCGGTCGGCCACCCAGGCCGCCTGTTCTGACGCACCGGACCGAGGCACCTCAGCTCGCTCGCACCGAGGAGGATCGATCGATCGCATCCCGCGGCACCGAGGACGGGCTGGAGGGCGGAACGGAACGGAACCGGTGTGTGTGGTTTTCATGGTCTTTTCCGTTCCAAGCCGCCCTGGTGGGCGTGGTGTTCTTAGATGGGGCTTTTCTGTGCATCAAGTCGGATCGGCGTGGTGTTCTCGTGATTCTTTTTTGGAGAGGTTCAAGCTTTCGGTGGTCCGAGACCGGAAGCCGTAACAGTGAAATGTTTTGAAATGTCCTCTCTATTTATTTTGTATAGAAATATGTTATTACATAAAGGAGGGTCCACTGACCGTTTGGGATGCCTCTACTTGACTATGGAAAAGTGATGAAACGTGTCACATATTGCATTACACAGCTTGAGTGTTTTTTTGAATGGATTTGATCGCCAGCTGAGGCAAACTGGTTGCTTTACAGTTCCTCAGTATCTCTAAGTGTTCATCCGAACCTTTCCAGGATCAAGATCACTGAAGCTTGAAGTGCTGCATTCCACATGGCCCAAATTGTTTAGAAACTTCATGAAACGTCCTTCCGAAAGCGGAGAATGGTCCCCGCAATCCCATTCCGCCCATTCCGAAGAAAGCGGAAGGAATTTCTTGGACCGTTGGCTGCACAAAAACTTACTTCGCCCCCCCCCCAGTGCTCCGAACAGTGCTCCGTTGGATCTCACCCATGTGCATGGCCTCCGGTGTCCCTTTCGCTGCCGCCCAGCTGTCTTGGGCCGCCCAGCCCCCGTCCAGTCCTCGATGTTGGCCTCCAAGCGAAAGGCCTCGCGCTTTCCGAGGACGACGGGGACCCAAAAGCTGGCAAAGATGAGGCGTGTTTGCTTGGAGGGCCTTTAGAACTGAAGTCATGCTGAGGTACTTTTGGAGGGTACTTACCAGGTAATTGTAGCGGTTTGGATGATTGTTCCCTCTGCAAATTGCTGCAATAGGAACTGTCCGGTGGGCGGCCAGCCGTCCGGTAAGCAGTCCCGGAAACCCACTCTGGGTCAGTAGTTCGACAAACAGGAACTAAATAGAGCCTATAGGCCTGGATGGCATAACATGCAGCACAGTGTGTTTTGGCGCACCTGGATGAAAGTCTCTTGGTATTCTTGAATGGAAACTGTCTAAGTCTAGGAAAAGCATAGCTTGACCAATAGCTGGGAATTACAGGCTATGTTTACGTGTTTTCTCATTTGGATGGTCATCTGGAAACGCCTTGGTGCGAGCTGGCCCATGCGCAGCTCAGACTGAGAGTAAAACACACAGAAGCTGGTGCAGTCAAAATACCGAAGCTGTGTGAAAGAAGTTCAGCGGGAACGTTCGAGTCCCGTTCATGGAGACGACATGAAATACAAATCCTAAACAGTTTGCTAAAGTTCACTAAAGTGCAGGGTTCAGGACAATCATGTGCCCCAACCATTAGGGCCGAGGCACCGTTGCTTGAGAGAACAAAAGCATGTCAAACCCTCATGCTCATACGAATATATTGACCTTAACTCCGTTCCAGCACCGTTCCAGCACACGCTGCATGTTCCGACCATCACGTGGCACCGAAATCCTCTGGTCTTCACGAAATCCTGCTTGTCCAAGCTCAACAAAGGGTTGGGAGGATCCGACCCTCAAACGACCCTCTTCTGTACCCCTAAGAGTAGGTTCCCGGCATAAAGGACCTGGTCCAGTGGCAGACCCTCCCCCACTTTTCACTTGACCGACACCCTAAATCGCTGAACTGTCAACCGCCATGCACCTCCTTCCACCTCCCTGCCCACACACTTTTTCTTTGGCCTAAGCTGCTCTATGCTGCTCTAGAGCCGTTCCAGCTCATCCAACATGGCCTCCGTCACTGCACCCCCATAACTCACATCCCCCCCAGGCCACCAGGCACGTCGCCCCACGCGAAGGCGTCACCGCCGCGAAGGCGCGCTCCGAGGCCGCCAGCACCACGTCCACTGCGCCCAGTCCAAGCCCTTCGTCCGCCACGTTGGACGTGGCACCGAAGGCCGGGGTGCCCCAAGTGATGACCTGAGACGACGAGATCACCACGAGATCCACCTGTCTGTGGCGGTCTTGGGGCTCAAAACAACCAACCGCTGTGACACCCCTCGGCTGGGTGAAGCTTGGAGAGAATTCGACCCCCAAGGAGACTCGGCGTTGAAGGTGTTCTGAACGTGGTCGGTCTCGGTTCAACGGTTCCCGCCTCTAAGTCCAAACCGCCCAGGAGACCAAGTGATCTTCGGCCTGCCCTCTACTCCAAATTCTGATGTCAGAGAACCTGTCCTTTACCTTTAAAAAGATACCAAATATATAAAAAGAAGACAACTTCGGAGATCCAGATCCGTCCTATATTACAAAATTTGTCTTCGGTTTAGCACGACAAATTGGATGACTGTCAGAAGTCCGCCACACACCACGGTGGCCGGACACGCCAGCGGCGGCTCAATCGCTGGGTGTTCGATCGACAATTGCAAGTTCGATGAGAGGAAACAAAGTTGGAGATGCAGGTGCTATCTCTCGTAAAACGTCACATCCCATGATTGGTTGAAAAGGAGATTGAAGATGCCAGAGGGCTTGTTGGGTTGGTATATGAGGGTGTCTCATTGCAAACATCAAACACCCAAGCCTCCAGGTGGGTTCTCCTGTCAGACCCTCCACACAGGCGAGTAAGAGTACGCCGCAAAATGAATTGTTGAGGTCGAGTGCCCTTCTTTCAGAGGTTCCCAAATAGTTGGTTTCTTTTTTGAGGATGTGACCTCGTTTTGGCATGAGGATGTGTGAAGTTCCCAGGATGTTACCCTCCCTCAAATAATCATGGAAGTGAAACATTTAGACCCCTGAAAAAGAAACAATCTTTCTCTACAAACAGGTGGTGTTTCACTTCCATGTTTATGACTCGGAGAGTACGTTTTGGGAAACTAAAAGCTTTACATTCACGTGACAGCCACCTGTCCATCAGCCCTGACGGCAGCAAAGGCCTGTTGTGAAGCTGCCAGCTGCTTCACCTCCTTCAACCGCTCAGAGACCTCGCTGCTATCGCCTCAAGGGATTCTCAATCTCACAACTAGTTGTTTCCCACATGGGATGGGACATCACAATTGCTGCTCGTTCTGCTCGTCGTCCAAAGCTTTTGGGGCCGAAAAGGTGTCACTTTGAGGGATTGCCAGGATTGCCCCAAAATGCATCTATACCCAGACACTCCATGTATGCCATATATGCCTACATTGACCCCCCCTGGCACCACCCCAACTGATCGGCATATATTCCATACATGGAGCGTCTGGGATATAGTTTGTTTTGGTTTCAGCCTCAGGCCCTCACCTCCATACAAGGGAAAGCCCCAAGTCACCACAGATCCTTCCGCAAGCAGGGCGGCAAAGGTGCCCCAGGTGCCACAAAGCTCTTGGACCTCGTGTAACTGATCTTGCACTTCACTGGAGTCTCCACCATCTTCCTCTTCACCCCAGGTAACCACACCTGTGACGATGGTCATTTTGGGATTCATCAAGGGCACATCTTGAACAAGACGACTGGACCTGAAGATATCGGATGGGTTGAGGCCAGAACCTGCATCTAGGGTGACCAGAGATTGACCAAGAGCGGCAAGTTGGGGTTTGTTGACTCACCAAAAGAGTTCGGGAGGGTCACTTACCGAAAGTTCCTGCAAAACCCAAGAGCCATCAACTGAAACCAAACAAATGTGAACGAACTCATCACCTTTAGCCTATAGGCCATCTGTAAGAAACATCGAAAAGCACGCCCATTGTTGAAGAGGTTGACTGCAATCCAATGTTTACCCATCCTGAATCCAAATCTGCAAGGGGGTTGCGATCCATCAACGGTCAGCCTCACCCTACGCAACTCCAAGTACCTCCTCAGGTTCGGTATGACTGGACCCTGGCACCCGGGCCCCCAGTCCCACCTTCGAAAAGAAGGTACGACTGGAGCCCAAACGGATGAATCAACACCCTGCCTCCATCTGCCAACAGGGCCGCGAAGGCGTCTTCGGTGGAACAGATCCCCCGGACGTTGATGAGCTCTTCGCGGACGGCAGAGCTGTCCCCTCGCGGTCCGAGCCGCCGTTGGGTTGGTGGCTGATGTGGAAATTCATCTGGGTTCGATGAATGTCTCATGCAGATGATGCCTCATTCAAGGACTTCAGGTCCTGAAAATGGTCTTCCATTCAAGGACGGACTTCGGTCGCGAGTGGATGACCACACGTCTCGGTGAGTCTTTCAGAGTCGGGCAACTCCCTGGAATAATCATGGAAGTGGAAAACCAGCTGCTTGTAGCGGAAAACCAGCTGTTCTATTGATATGGGTGGCTTTTGTCCTTTTGGTTTCACTTATGCTCATAGGGTTCAAGATACATACGTTGTTCATTCATTTCATTGTAGTGTCAATTCCCACACGATACCCGGAGAGTGCCCCGAAGGGGCGGGACTTTGCGTGGCGGTCGTGAGCCGTGTGTTATGGTGAAGAGGATTTCATGGTCATGCAAGGGGCCAGGCCATCCACTTAACCATGATGATTCCAGCGAGTAGGGAGTGTAGTTACAACTGTTGGACCTTCCAACAAAGACGGTTTGCTCGTCGATCATGGCATTCACAACCAAACCGCCCAAAAAATCGACCAGGAGCCTGGGTCTTCTCCATCCAAGCATGTGTCCGTGTCGGAAAGAAGTAGAGAGTCAACTACTCCAAACACGGGAGATCGAACAATACAGTTGGGTGTTTGAAGGTTCGTTTGATCCACTCCAACAACTTCCAACTTCCAACAACGACATATCTTGGTGAAAAAGCCTCTACCAGGACCATCCTGCCCTACACCACTTTGGCCACTCTGCACAGCCAGGACACCCATCGGATGGTTCAGGGTTTCTTCAGTAGGGCCAAGACACACTCCACGGGGGGTGGTGAGTATGACAAGTACCCTCAAGTAGCTTATGTCCCTGCCTCCAAAAAACCTGAAACGTCTTCGAACTCACTCTGTTCAAGGCTTCTTGGCCCATGAAGTTCGCCCCATCCAGGTCCGCGCCTCCATACTCGGGATTGCCCCAGGTCACCACACCACCGTCCTCCAAGATGGCCGCGAAGGCACGCTGAGAGGCGGCCAAGTGTTTCACACCTCGTAGCTCAGAGCGAAGCAAGCTGCTATCCCCTCCAGCGTCTGCAGCGCCCCAGGTCACAACGCTTCCTGGGATGCGGTGGCTCCGTTGCGCTTTATATCGCCGTCGCCGAGGAGAACATGGCCGTTTTTTTTGGGGGGGAAGCTATATACAAATCATATGATGTAGTCTTGGTGTGCACCTGTGACTTGTTGGTTCACACGTCCACCATGACCCTTCAAAAGGCCTCCAGTCAACAAAACAAAACACCTCCTGGCAGCAAGATTCCATCGGCCAAGCGGGCAGCAAAGGCTTCTTCTGAGCCACAAATCTCTTGAACACTTCGCAATTGGTCTTGAACACCGCTGCTGTCGCCTCCACCAGTGTCATTGCCCCACGTCACCACCGTTTCATCCTCCAAAATGGCCGCAAAGGCTTCGGCCGAGGCTGAGACCTGCCTCACACGACCACGTTTCAGTTGCTCTTGGACCTGCCAACTCTCTCCGCCACAGCCATATTTGCCCCAAGTCACCACCTGGTTGTTGCTTTCAATCCACACAAAAAAGTTGCTCCTGCGTGCTCCTGTATTTGGATTAATGGCAAGGTCACGGAGCGAAGCAAAAACGATATGAAACCACCTTGAAAACACCCTCAAGAATCGCTGCCTGTCCATCAACCAAAATTGCAGCAAACGCTCCCTTGGAGGCAACAACCTCTTGCACCCCTCTCAGCTGATCTTGTACACTGCTGCTGTCGCCACCTGTATATGCATCGCCCCATGTCAGCACCCCACCACCACGGCACCACAAAGCAAATGCCCCAGCGGTCGCCGCCAAGCAGGGGATTTGGAGCACTACCGTCAAGGTCTGACCTGGGAGCACTCGCGTCCAGGTGTCGAGTCAAACGGTGAACCAAAAAAGGAGGAATCTCTAAGAACTCGGGTGTTGGAACTTATGTACCAGTGTACCAGTACCCGGTTCGCCTTCCTTTCGACCATTCAAAATAATGGTTGCAACCTGGTTTTGTAGTGTGAAATCCTTAGTAGAACAATGGCTGTTCGGCAAAAGGCCTTGAAAAGTAATAGTGGTTGGAATCCTAGGGAGCATATATGTATAGTTATTAGTTATACCTGGATCCAATGGGTCCTGGAGATCCCAAAGTAGTCTAGGGTGGTCCAGAAAGGAAACTTAGACAAAATGGTCCTGGTATGTATACCTGGAACCCGTTTGACCGCTGCTTTGATAGGAAAAGACCATCTTTTCGGGTGATTCGTGGTCCAAAATAGAGGTCATTCAGGTTCTAGTAGGTATTTATATATTATCAGTAGGCTAAGGTAGTTTCACACACCTTCAGATCCATGGCGATTGTTCTGCATTCCTCAGCAGATCCGACCAGCTGTGCCTTGCGTCGGGTTCGCTTCGGCCTTCTCCCGGCTGGGTTCCGGTCGCATGAGACCGGGGGAAGGTCGGCGCGACAGTGACATTGTAAGTGATAGAAGCAAGAAACCACAGCCTGACCAATGGTTTCACCTATATAGGTGAAGCCATTGGTCAGGGCTGGCTTCTGACCAACTGGAGAGTTCCAGGTGATCTCGAAGAATCAAAACCATCACGAGGTCTTTGGAGACTCTCCCCATCCTTCGTCTTCCCCAAATCATCAGCGCGACCATCGTGGAGTCCAGCATCTTGAATCGATTGGGACACGTTGGAGAGAACAGTTCCATCAGCCGTCACTTGCAAGAAATGGTGCTGAAAGAACTTCCTTGGTCCAAGATAGGAACTTTTGGTATAGTTTACTGTCCATTCCGTGTCCCGGGCAAGTCCTTTTGAAAAGGTTGAAAAGGTAAACCTCAATGTTGTTTCCAAGGACAGGTGTCTCTCAAGCCGCCGCGGACGGTTCGATTCAGACCGGTGCTGCCAAGCTTTTCACCACAAGGAAACCACATGTTTGGCCCTCTCCGAAGCAGACGAAGCACACAGAACACAAGGTGGTCACCACTTTGACCATGAATTCGGCTGTCAAGAAACCCGCCCACCCAAGAGAACTGCCTGCATAACCCAAGTTGACTTGGTGTGGGGGGATTCATCCACTTCTGATTTCAGAAAATAGGTTTCAGAATGGTTCAGAGTAGATGGCACGTTTGGGCCCCCCCAGTTCGGTGGTTGATCTTTTTTAATATGGACCCCCCATCTATATAAAGGACATCTTCGGGTGCCAGTGCCATCTACTCTGAAAAACCCTGTAGGACGTCCCATTTGGCCACCACCACCAGGCCCCTTGGTGCTGTGCGTGGGGAGAGGGGAGAACTCCGCTCAGTGATGCTTTGGGCGGTTGAAGAAAGGCAGGACATTCTCTGGTCAAAACCACCACTTTCTTACTTTTGATTATCCTTTTGATCAAGCCTCAGGGCCTCAGGGAGTCACAAAGGTAGGCTATAATCTCATATACTGGTGGCTACACCCTGCGCAAACTAGATTCCAATCCGCGACCATCAGCCGCATATCGACCCAATCCGGGGATTCCGCAATCCGCTCAATCCAACTAACGATCAATGGGACTGGCGCAACAAAAACAAGACTCTCCCTCCTGCTGCTGCCGCCGCAGCTGCTGCACTTCGGGGTGTCTTTCACTTTGTTCCAAAGGGATTCTGACGAAAATGGTTTCTGCCGTCCACAACTCCATCCCACTCAGACCCCGATGTTCATCAAACCCACACGGAGATGTCAAACCTCTGCATGTTGCGGGTTGGATTCCTCAATGCTTTCCACATGACCCACCCACATGGTGTGGTCCTCCACGCATTCCTCCGCCCCAATTCTATCTAAGTCTCTTGGCCGCCGCTTTCACTTCGCCCACGCTCGCGCTGGGCGACAGCGACACCGTCGTGCTCGATCCGCTGGAGACGCAGAGCTGCAAGCTCCATCGCCGTTGGTCGGGAGAGCGCGACCGGTCCATGGCGAGGGCGGCGCGTCCGGTGCGTCCGGTGCGGAAGGAAGGAGTTCCAGTGAATCGCCAAGGGGGGGCGAAGCTTACTTCATTCCCGACTAGGCAGTCAGAGCATTGAGGGGGCTCAGACTAACACCACCATGGCACCCACCGATGGGCGCGAGATGGTGCGAGGTTTTCGGTTGGCTGGTACGGAATGTCCTCCCATCTTTCTCCCTTCAAGAACCCCTGGCCCTGGACATGATGGGACCGAACGCGGCCCAACCATATTCAAGAGATCTCCAAGAAACAGGGAAAGCGTGTCCTCCCTCAGTCTTCAGTCTTCACTACGCACATCGGAGTCACAAAGAGACTCTCAAACTTCGCACCCTCAAACCCCCTCCACATAAATATGTGGTGTGGTTCCCGAAATTTTCTGCCCCTCACTCATCTTCCTTCTGCTCACCCTATAGTCAGGAAGTCCGGGCCCTCAAAGCCGTCCCTATTGGTTTGGGCAGAGATGCGCCAGAATTCGCCAGCACCGACTCTCCAGCAGATGAATCCCAGCCTGCGGACCCCATTGTTCCCAAAAGGCTCCGATCTCCGCTTTCAGCAGCTCCTGAGTGAGGGCGTTTTTTTGTTTTTTCCGTGGTAACTGGGGTTCAGGAGGGATGAAGCTGGTGGCAAAGCAGATGAAAACAGAATCCACTGTTACAGTAAGTTGAAACAAAATCCTTCCTTCGAGTGATCCCCGCCCTGAAAAGCGATTTGTGCGGATTGACACGATGTTCTGACGCTTGTTCTGGCATCAAATCTGGTTTGTGCTCTGACACATCATATTTCATAAAGGCTGGGAAACGTTCTGGACTGTGTTTTGACATCTTTGTTGGCGTGTGTTCTGACGTTTTTCCTGTCTGACATGTGCTGTGACATATGAACCAACTTCAGCCCTGATATGTGTTCCGACATGTATTCCAACGTTTGTTCTGCCATCAAAGGTGTTCTGGCATTCTATCTGGCATAAACATCAAACATTCTATCTGGCATATGCTCTGGGCTCTATCTGGCAAAAATCAACTGCTGGCACTTCATCTGGCATCACTGCTGTTTCTATCTGGAATATGCTCTGGCATTCTACTTGGCAAATACTCTGGCAGTCTATCTGGCGTACATTCTGACATTCTATCTGGCATATATTCTAACCGACTCTAACCTTCTACCTGGCATATATTCGGACATTGTATCTGGCAAATATTCTGATGATCTATCTGGCCGTTGGGGTCCGGCAGCGCCCACTGCGATCGGGAGCTGCCGGTTGAGGTCCGACAGCGCCCACTGCGATCTGGCGCTTGCTGTTGAGGTCCGGCAGCGCCCACTGCGATCTGGCGCCTGCTGTTGAAGTCCGGTAGCGCCCACTGCAATCATGCACTTGCAGTTGAGGTCTGGAAGTGCCCGCTGCGATCACGCACGTGCAGTTGAGGTATAGCCCATTGTGATCTGGAGCTGGCAGTTGAGGTGCGGTAGTCAAGAAGAAGACGAGGAGGAGGAGGAGGAGGAAGAAGAGGACAAGAGCTCTGATAAAATCTGACAGTTAACAACCCTCACCTGGCAGGTGTGGGAAAAACCTGTGTCATTGATCCACTAGCTTCATTTGTCTATGTCTTCAGTTGATGTTTCCAGGTCCAAAGCCTCCGGCCAGCTCACAAACGAAGGCCTAAGGTCACCACCCTGAAACTTGATGTTCACTGTTGATTAGTTGATTGTTAACCAACCAACCAACCAACCAACCAACCAACCAACCAACCAACCAAC